GCTAGATAAGATTTTGATCTTAGAAAGTTATTACGGACTAAGGGTCCAAATAAATTTGGAATGCTGAAACTTTTATAATAAGATTTTGGAATTAATTATAAAGAACAAACAGCTTCACGTGGGATACAGATCCTGTTTTGTTTTTTGCAAGACATAATAAAGATAAGTAATTTCATGATTTTAAAAACTGGACTGTAGAAGAGACTAAAGATTTTAGGTAAAGGAAAAAATACAAGCCTACAAAATGATGCAAGACGTTGTAACAATGAAAATACTGAAAGGAGATTTTTGAAGAATGAAATCAGAAAATAATTGCCACAGTATCAACAATGTCAGTAATGATGTCTACTTCTATGGATAAATTATGTCCAAAAGAAGTTATTGAAGAAATGACAGATGTAGAACAAATTTTATCTGACAAGATAGAGATGGTATTGAAAGTGGATTACAACTGAAGGCCAAGAGAATGACTCAGAAAAGGATGTTTCACTGGATCTACAAAAGAAACTGGCGGATGTTTTAAAATTTAAAAGGGAAATACAAATGACAAACCAAGATAGTGACTTGGACAATTTTTTCCTATTGGATTTACAAAAGAGGCTCCTTAAAGCCTTGAAGAACTCTGATGGGACAAAGACGAAGAAAAATCAAATCCTTCAGCAATATTTGAATGAACTAAAGATTAAGGTTGTCAGAAGTAAATGGAAGGAATATAAAGTTGGTTTATTTAATCAAGCTTAAAACAAGATAAGTTGTTACTTCTGGCAACCCTTTATGGACTTTCTGCTGACACTAGGACTGAAAAGATGATGTTTTATGGATTTGTTTATAGATAAGAGATAGGATGAAGAGATAATTGTTTGTAACCCTAGAGGGGGTGAAGAGTCACTAAATGTGTTTATATTTGTGATGAAGGTTGGAAGTCACTTCTTTAAATATTTCTTTTCTCTTTCTTTATTATAGTCTTACTTTTCTCTTTCTTCTTTTTCTTTTTCCTTGCACTTTTTACTTCTTTCTCTTCTCTTTAAGTTTAGTTTGTATTAGATTTTACTATTACGATCAAAATTCTTAATAAAATATATACACAAAAGTAGCATTTTCTGACTGGTGTCTGTTCAAGCATGCTGTCCAGTTCACCTTCTGCACTTCTTTACAATGAAGGCAAACACCTTCATTACTCTGCTCTGTGACAGGAACATCCCCTCCCCTCTGCTCACACCCCTCCATAAACATTTTTTTGTCCAAGTTCACTGATTAAAATCAGGGGCACAATAAATATGGCTTGGAAAGAACATCAAGCCATTATCATAGCCAAACCATAGGAAGAACTGAAATCCATAACAAGATGTCTTAAGCTGGTCATTTCTGGTCAGTTTATGCAGAGAAGTCCAGCAGCTTAAGGCTGCAAAGCAGAAAAGCCTGAGGTCTCTTTCAATCCAAGATCAACAACTGATTACTTCAAGACATGTCCATGTACAGGTAGTCCTCAACTTATGACCACAATTGGGACCAGAATTTCCATTGCTAAGCAATGCAGTTGTTAGGCCAGGACATCACACCATTATGTGACCGCACCACTTAGCAACAGCAGTTCCAGTAGTCCCAGTTGCGGTCATTAGGCCAGGACAGTGCCGTCATTAGGCAAGAACCTCACACTTCTCCTGCCCTGCCACGTTTGCCTTTGCTTCAACTCCCTCAACCTGCCTATCTCCCCCCATCTCTGCCCTTATGGCTGCCTTGCATTCTGCTACCAACACCACTGCCTGCAGCTGAACTTTGCCGTCTTCTTCCTCCTACTGGACTGGGATCCAGGCACTGGGCAAGGATGCAGCCCTGGGATGTGCATGGTGAGCACGGCAGGGCAGCAGAGCCTCATCTGCTGAAGGGAGCTTGTCAAGTCTCGCCAGGGAGGCAGCAGTGGGATGGTGAGGTGAGGGGCTCTTTGTCGCCAGGTGAGGCAGGATTGCTGGCTGCAGCTCCCCGGGCAAAGGTGGAAGGCTGTGTGGGAGGCACTGTTTGGGGTGGCAACACAACTGCAGGAAGCAGAGGGACACGGGTCTCCCGTGTATAAGATCAGCAGGAACATTAAACTTTTTAAAGCTTTTGTGCCTGAGATGGAATAGAATGATTGTTTCAACTCAGCTACAAATGTGAAAGATACACAAAAGATCCACCATTTTTCAACTTACAGAATTAGCTTCAAATCTGACTTTCACATCATTTCTAATGACAGGACAGTTCTTCAAACCAATTACTACCAAGTCATTTTCATGATCAAGGAACAACTGAAACGAAACAGATACACATCTTATTCTCACCCACTAAATACTTCTCACAAAATGCAAGACTGTAGTTTACTAGTTCCTTTTCTCATGCACTGAAATCACCATGGGGGAGCTTGGGGAGAGGTCCAGCTCATTCTCTGTTAATATTTCAATAGGTTTCTCCACTCCAGAGGACAGGATTATGTGTGTGAGAGACTGACAGCCACATACAAATTGCATTACCCATTCTGGCACAGAGGGAAGTTTTAGGGATAAAAAGTCATGCCATAAACTGCCACTTAGCTCTTGAACAGATTATAGAGTTCTATAATTATAGTTACATGCAATATTAAGGGCTCTCCACTGGTGCTGTAGGTAATGTTTAATTCTACTTTGAATGCAGCTTTTCCTAGTTTAATTTGCTTCTTAAAAGTTACTCCTCTCAGGGCATGAGCATTAAAGATACATTCTTCTCTGATCCTCAGATGGATCAGCAACACCTCCAGTTAATTTATCACTATTTGTGGGAACTTAACTGACATATAATCATCTAACAGCCTTTTTGGATGTTAGTCAAACAACATGTTAGTGATTTTTGTGAAGCTCTGGAAAAGAATCTTACCCTAACAACACAGCACAAGAAGGAATAGCAGAAGCTGTCTTATTACAAGTCAGACTACTAGTGTGCCTAGTACTTTCTTTTCTATACTGGTTCTCCAGGATCTCAGATAAGAAGTTTCTCTCTCCCCATTTATAGATGCCAGAGACTGAACCTGAAGCGTATACTTGGCATGCATATCATTAAGTATGGCCTTTCTCACTACTTTATTCATTACTGCCTATTTGGAGTTCCTCAATGAGTGAATTCAAAGCAAGGATGTATGCAGGCTTCATTGCAATACACAGATTTGTGCTGCAACTGAACATGAAATGAATGGAACTCTACTGACAAAATCCTGGCCTTCAGGACTGCAGGATCTTTAAATTAACATGAAGCTCTGACCTTGCAGTTCACTTGGGTTGCACAAATGCATTGAAATGCTACTTCCTTCTCCATGATTATCTTTATTCTGAAATCAGTCCCATTGCCTTTACCAACTCCTAAAAAGGGGAGGGGGGAGGGGGAGACAAAGATACGTATTAGATAATTACTGAAACCAAACAGTGGAATTCATATCTCAAACAGAAAATATCCTGTGATGTTGCAAAATGACCAGCTTTTCCATTTCCCAGTCCTCTCCAATCTAGTTTAAAATGCTCCCAAGATTGATTTGAGCTGTTCTGATGATTTGACCATGTAAATGCTAGGAATCTAGGTTTGCCAGTCTATAATTCATAGACAGCCATCAATCTATCATTCCTAGCTTGCTCTATTTTCAAGCTGGCCAATAACTGCCTCCTTTTACTTGGTCCACATCTAAGCAAGCATTCCTTTCACTCTTCGCAAAAAGAAAACATAGTAAATTCATAGTGTGTTTTTCTATGTTTCATGTATGCCTATACATTTATGTATCCATTGCTTTTGAAAAAAATACAGTTATAGTTTGAAGGGAAGCTGTGCAATAGGGAGGTAGATTGCTTAAAAATTGCAGGTGCACTGAAAAATCTCTTCCAGCTTCATGGCAGCAAACATAGATTGCCTTCCAACCCCTGAAACAGGTAATGCTGCCAAACCAGCAATTCTGTATTTGTGTACTTTCCCCAAATGTGCTGGCACATTTCTACAACGGGAACCCTAAGATGCTGGGAGATAAGTTGAGGAAAGCATCTCTACAAACAGGAGCAAAGATATCTTGAAACATAAGGCAGCTGATCAGTTCACTTCCTGAAGTGACATTAGTGGGCTAAAACAGCACAAACACAAAGGATATGTTGCAGCTGCAACCCTGTTGAAGCTGATGGCTGAATCTGTTTGGAAGTAGGCTGGAGGCCTCAAATCTCCTGTTCTAAGATGGTGACGGTCTGCTATAAATAGCAACTTCTGACTGGATCTCAGAAAAGAAACTACAGAGATCCCAACTCATAAGAATATTCTAAATAAATCTAGTGTCTTCATGTCCAGTCTGAAGAAGGGATAAAAGAAAGCTGGGGATAATATAGCCGATGTCTTAACCTGTATAAAGAAATAGGGAAAATTAGACTTAGCGCACAGAAAATAAACTAAAAATCGAATGCAAAATTCTGGCTAAATGTTTTACCTATTTCTACAAAAAACTGATGACTCTTAAATCAGATGTTCCTTCTGATTCAATTACCCCTTGACTCTTAAAGATTCCAGCCATTTAATGGAGACTGTTCAGGGAGATGTTAACCCCAGTTTTTCCCCCGCTTTGTTCTGTAACTTCTTTCCAATTTCTTTCCCAAGTCCTGCTCTTTGTTTGTTTTTTAAAAATTCTACCTCCAACAGATGATTCAGCAATCTGATTCAACACAACCAAGAGCCATGCTTTATTTGTTGATGTGAACTGACCAGCTAGCACGAGACCAGCTGACTGTAAATGTCAAGAATATTCAGCCTGCACATTTACAACCCTACTCTGATGGTGCTGTGTGATGGAGGAGGCCATCTCACCTAAGTGCTGGGATTGCACCATCAACTGGAAGATCCCCTTCCTGCAGCACTTTAGTGGCACTTACCTTGGATAGCATAGAGTTTTATGCATTTGATTCTGAAAGGCTTCACTGGTGGGAGGATCAGGTTGTATTCTAATTTCAGGGTTGTATAATATTCAACATACCTACTCTGCAAATAAAATTTAGGAGTGTCTTGAGACAAAAATAATTTTATAAAGAAATGTATAATACTTTCTATCTCTTCAAAGTTTTAAGCAAAGCAAATGTCAATCCAAAAAATGAGACGACCATTCTCTGATGTTTGACTTCATAAGGGGGAAAATTTTAATACTCATCTCCCAAGCTTTGCTTAACCAAAACATGACCAAACCCAAAGCTCATGACTGGATGAAAGGCAGTAAAGCAGCACTTAGAAATGCAAGGTGAAAACAGAAAATAACTATTTAAATTACACAGCTAGTTTGCGGCAATCAATTCTGTCAGTTCTTTGATTCAACCTTACACACAGCTTCATAGCAAACTTTTACCTGCGATGGAGTTTCAACACCCTGAAACTTGGTGCTAGTACTTTCATCAGTTCTTCTTTTACCAAAGTACTCCAAACTTTCCTTAAAAATTGAGAATTGTGTTACTATAGCTATTACAGCATCTTATAGTATTTGGTTTAAAATCAACTAGCTGGAGATCTTATATCAGAAGAGTGCTCAACTTGGGGTAGGCAGGGTGTCTCAGGGCTACACGTGACTTTTGAGTGGCATGTCAGAGCTACACTTCAGAAAACAGAGTGGGCAGAGTGAGGCAAAAAGTAATTTGGATTTAATTAAAAAAACAGTTACTGTAATTCATATTTAATTATTTTCCATTTCAGTCACATTATAAATTACAATTCATCAGCAATTTTTAGAAGAACTCTATGGGAACTCTAAGTAACACCAATTTTAAAAAGGGTTCCAAGAGAGATCCAAGTAATTACAAGTTGGTCAACTTAACAGCTGTTGCAAATTGGTAAAATAGTAATCAGAGAAAAAACAACTCAACACACATAGGAAGAAGCTTTGCTGAAGGAATTTCATACAGTAACAGAAGAGCATATCAGGGTCTATTACATGCAGTCCTGTATGTAGCAAATTCAAAGACCTTATCAAAGATGCCACTGAGTAAACAAGAAGCTGCACGCTACACGAGTGGTCAAGCCATGCTGAAAGAGTATCAGGTTTTAATTCTATATTACATTTGGAACCCACATAGAAGAAATTATGGGAGGTAGCACTTTTCAACATGTTCTGCATAAAGAGTCATTTCAGACTCACTCAGAAAGAAGAGGAAAAATATCAACATAGCTTTGGTACCTTCGCGCTCTTAAACTGGCCACTGTCAATAAGCCAGATGCAAATCATAGTTCCAGTCCTACCTGCATCAAAAAGGGGAAATTAGTGACTTGAAAATAATGATGCTGTCATGTTTACGTGTCCCCAAGAATGAGGCTATGACAGCATCAGTATTGAGCACCCCTGCCCCTGCACTTCCTAATAAATCTGAAAAGCACCTGACCCTACCAAAAGCTTATCTTGCACATCTAACACCAGGTGATGCAAATGGCTTTTGCAGACAGCTACTGTCAGTGAATGCTGGATAGAACCAGGTCTTTCATACAACCCAGATAATTGAGAATCTGAAGTTTTCAAAAGGGCTAAAAACAACATTCTCCCTGAGCATATCTATAAAGAAAGAGACTGGATCACTGCGTTGCATTCTGCATGGAGCTATTTCTAAGGCTTCAGTCAGCACATCCCTTAACTAGTATGTTATCTGGAAACATTTTATCAGCCCTTCAGCATTCACACTGACAGCTGCTAGCCTCTCTGTCCAATTCAGGGCATCTTTTTACACACTTTCTCCTGCACAAAGCAATTCTCAAAATACAACCTCAAACGGATCTTTGGGAATGCCTTCCAAACCAGAAAGTTCACTTACCTTTCCCACCTTTACAGTGTATTGCTACAACATTGTGGTTGTCCTGTTCCATCCATTGCCTCACATTAGCAGTAAATTTGAGCATCTCCCTTAAGGAAAAGGAAGAATGCCTCATTTAAGAGTTTATCCATTCTAGAAATTACTGTAAAAAAATTAAAATGTTCTCTCATTTATCAAAACAGTACAAATCACTGGAATTTCTTATGACCACGCACTATTCCCACTTAAGTATCTTTAAGCTGCCTCTGAGGAGAAGCCACATGAAGCACAAAGTTCATAGGGGAGATTTGAAGTACTTTCAACTAAAGGGGCTTGCATTGCTCCTCACAACTGGGAACCTGCTGAACTTATTAAAAGTTTTCTTTTCCTGGGAGAGGAGGCAGACAGATTGGGCTGGAGGGCTTTTGTGAAGAAAGGTATTTTGAGAGATGTTGTGATAGACTGTGGGAATAGAGGAAGGATCAGGATAGGATACCCTGCCAGAGTGGCTTAACCAGAGAACAGGACTACTGACCCCAGATTGTGGGTGTATGTTTGGTTAATTGGCTTGCATGGGAGGGATATGACCACACCCTTAAGGTTGGCAGATGTGGATGATCCTGGTTGTGATGGGTTGAGGTGTACATGAGGGGGCCCAGAGAGCAATAGTGGGGAAGAGAGATCAACAATTTGGTGACAATCCTTGCTTCTACTCCAGTGAGTCTGATTCTGGATCTATACTGTCAGCCCTTCAAGCTAGACCAAACTAGGAAACTGAAGTCATGCAGGCCAATACTACTTTTACTATAGAGTTACAGTAACAGAATCTTGCAAGCCTGAATGCATTTCACCCCTTCCTCTATCTTTGCGAGAACTAGGGAGGGTCCTGTATGAGACATTTTCTCAGGTTATAGTTCTGCCCTGGACTTGGGTTTCTTTAATCTGACTCTTGGTAGCAGCTCTTCCTCCTGTCCCTCAAGTTCTTCCTTTTCCCCATTACATCTACTAAGGTTTGGTAGTACTATAAAATGTTATATTGATTATGATATTGTATTAAGAAAGGCATATATTAATTATATTATTTTATTGTGATATTGATTTATATTATATATAATGTTTTTATTTCCTTTTACTGTGCTTAATTATATGCACATGCGGAAAAAAAACCCTACTACTAAAATTACTGCCAGTGACCTTGGTCCCAATTTGCTGCTAGTAAATGCCATGTCTACCGAGAGCACTAACATAGTACTGCAAGGAAGATCAGTTAGAACTCAGTTATCAGAAAACTAAAATCATGGCATTTGCCAAAAGGTCCAAGAGCCACTCCTGGAGCATAGGTGGCCACAAGATTGAGCAGGTCTCCTATTTCAAATACCTGGGGGTAGTCCTTCATTCTGCTGGTAGTAGGAAAGCCCACAGGGATACATTACTGAAAATGCACAGAGGAGCTCATCTGCCATCCTTAAGTTCCTCAAGACAAGAGGTGGCCACTATATTCTTGCAGCGCTCAAATTATTTGAAGCCAAGCCAATAGCACAACTTCTTTATGGTCCCCCTTGTCCAATTTTGCACCATTAGAACTTGTACAATCCAAAATTTCTAAGATTGGCCCTTCAAGTCCCAAAATGTCTCTCTAATGCCACCCTGAGACTAGAGACAGGCCTCATGAAAATGGAGGTTATACTCTACTACTGAGACTATCCTTTTTTCCCCTTGGCCTTGCCCCATTAACTATGAGGGATGATTTTCAGTCCACATGGAAACAGGCAGTAGCAACTAAAATCTCATCCAGGTCTTCTACTCAGCATGGGATACGACCAGGCCAAAGCACTCATTAAACAGCGTGTAGCAGACACAGAGTGCCAGTTGGATCTAGCCAGGTCCCCAACTTTTATTGCCAATGACTCCAGCAGGTACTCTGCCTTCCCTATGGCATACTTAACTAAACTCAAAGTACCTAAATACTGGAGGGCCTTTACTTTGGCACAATGCCATACCCTCCCCTCAGCTGTCCTTGAAGGTCGATATAAGAACATCCCTTATCCAGAGAGACAATGCCCCTGTGACTCTGGACACACAGAAACAACAGAACATGTGCTTCTCCAGTGCCTGTATTACAGAGACGTTCGTACTAGCTTCATCTCACCATTACTGCATAGATACCTAGGGCACTAAAGACAATTCTATACCTCCCTGCTGACAGGTTCTGCACAGCAGCAATTAAAATTTGTCAGATGATGACCTATGTCATAAACTAGTCTAAATAAGTATCTAGTTCGTCATACTAGAGTGCTCTATAATTTGATATAGTCTGCCATATGCTAATCTTTATGCTCCTCTACACCCATCTAATGTTCCTACCCCTCCTTTTAGATTTTTTTAGACTTTTGTTTTATATATACTTTCTAATACATATATTTTTATATCTTCTAGCGTTTCATAATTTTTCATTTAGATTCCTTTTAGATATATACTATTTTATATCTTTTAGCTTTTTATTATTTTTCTGATGTATTTTCTATGCTTTTTAAATTGATTTTACCCTACCTTCCTTAAGCTGGTCTTTGACCATAATAAAGATTTGATTTGATTTGCCATGTCTACCTGCAACAAAACTGCTTTCATCAACAAGCTAGTTGTGAATGAATGGACAGACCTGGCATGTATTTACCTAAACTTGGTGGGGATGTTAACCTTTTCAGAAATCTGTCTTCCTTGATTTGGGGTCCTGCAGCAACCCTGACATGAAGGCAAGGGAGGGAAATAGCGTTATTTTTAAAAGACACTAATTGTAACCAGGGCTCTGCTCCAGAGGCAACAGGGTGAAAATGTCTGCATATGAATTAGGCAGTAGGGATTCCTGCTCAGTGATTCCCTTGCTGAGCATCTTGGTCTTTAAGCTGGCTCCCCTCCCTTTTTGGTGCTGGGTGACCTTACTTTACTGGCCTTGGGAGCTGGGTAAGGAAATGCCCAGGAATTCATGGCCTCCATGGCAACCATAGGCTTGTCCCAGGTAATCTCTGGTTTGACAAATGCAGGTGGACTTACACTAGTTTTTACTTCTGAGCAATTGCTTTGTGATCTAGATATGGATGGCATATTTAACCATTTGTTATGTCACATCCTGATCCAACTAAGACTGATTGCCATCAGGACCTCTCTAGGACCCAAATGCTGAATGGATTTGGAGAATTTCTGGAGGGTGCTTGGGAAGTTTCCCAGCCATCTGGCAGGCAGTTCTGTCAGTTGCTTAACTGACCGCTGACAACAGGAAGAGCCTTGGCTCTTGATGAGATTGCTCCAAAGCAGCCTCTGTTCGGAAATCTTGGGATTCATCTCAGTTTAAGGAGGAGCTCCAAAGAGAAAATGACAGAATTGATGCCTGGAGCATCACTGGAGAAAGACCAAAAGGGATTTTGACCAAGCACAGGTATGAGCTCACACCACAGAGATTAGGAAGGCTAATCATCTTTACTTCTCTTCCATTACTGCACTGACAAGCTAGCAGGCTTACTTAGGATAGCAAATTCCTTCTTCAGGAAGGAAGGTCAGCTAGTTTGCTTGCCTGACTACAACCACCATTTTGTACAGCACTTCGCCAATTCACGGAAGCCTTGCATGGTGTCCGATAGGGTAAGTGGAGTATTACCTGGCTGTATTATCAAGGACTCTTTTTGATCTATTGACTTCGGTGAAGGAGATAAGCTACTCTAGCATGATCTCCATCATGTGTACAATGGCTCTCCTGGCTCCTGCAGGAGACAGGCTGGACCCAGGAGACTATGAATGCCTTGTTTTGAGAAAAGGCATTGCTTGCAGCTTTGAAGGAGGCTGTGGTATTCCCCTTTCTTAACAGGCTCTACTGGGATCCAGCTGTTTTAATGATTATCACCTCATCTCCAACACTCCCTGTTTAGGGAAGGTTATGCAACAGGTGGTAGGGATGCAGCTGCAGAATGCCCTAGAAAAGACAGATTATCTGAAGTCTTTTGAGTCAGGGATCAGTATGGGAACAAAATGGCATTAGTCACTCTGGTTGAATCCCTTTGCTGGGACCTGGATGAAGGAAGTGCACTCCTCCTGGTCCTAACAAATCTCTCAGCAGCCTTTAAATATCATCCACTGTGGTCCACCATTCTGGACCACCTAGGAGGGCTAGGGATTGAAAAGACTGTTCTCCAGTAGTTCCATTCCTTCCTGAACAGGCAGTTCCAATCTGTGGTAATGGGGAAGGAGAGGTTGGCTTGATGGCTGCTTCCTCTACTTTTAAACATCTACAGTATATAAAACCACTGGAAGAGGCTATCTGGTGGTTTGGGGTGAGGTACCATCAATATGCTGACAACACTTAATTATATCTTGCCACTCCCAGCCTGGCTGGAGATACTATACTGTGACAAGGAGGTTCTTTGTTTCAGCTGGTACACCAGTTGCAGTCTTGTCTTAAGTGGGAAGAGCTTCTTACAGTGACTCCTGCCCTTGTCACCACTTGCCCAGATAACTGCAAAGCACCCTACACAGGGCTACCTTTGAAGACAATTCAGAAACTGTAATTGGTCCAGAATGCAGCAGTCTGTGTGTGGTCAGCTGCTTGACACTATGACCATGTTATACCATTTCTGCAAACCCTGCACTAGTACCCTGGTAGTTTCTGGGTAGAATTCAAGTGCTGGTTATAACCTACACAGCCCTTTATGGCTTAGCACTTAGTACCTTCAGGGTGGCCTCCTTCAAGTGGATTTGACCTGTCCAAGGCTCTTCTCCTGGGAGAAGCTGCTGGTACTGCTTTATTTCTAGGAAGTGATGGGGCTGAGATCCAGAGGCATTATTTCTCTGTGATGGCCCCTGCCCTCTGGAATGGCCTCTCTCTGGAGATGAATTTGAGTCCACTGATTACTGCTTTCAGGAAGCAAGTTAAAAGCAAGTTATTCCAGAGGGCCTTTGAGTGGTAACTAATGTTGCAGGGTTCAGTTGTACAGAGTTTTAATTGCTTTATATTTTATTGTGGATGTTTTATTTGTACTTTATCACTGTAAACTGCCAAGAGTTGTAAAATAGCAGTATATAAATTCAATTTTTAAAAAAAATGTTGGAGAAGATTAAGGAATGCATGGTCCATATCTCTGCCAGTTTCTGAACACCTGAATAGGACTAGTGGCATAGGCTATTTTAATTTTTTCTCAAGATGTTTTTCATAGGCAATAGATATCTGCACACTGTAAACAGCTGGATTTGGTTTATTCATCCATTTGGTTTATTGTTAAATCTACACAGAACCATTGCAGAATCATACTTACGCTAGAGTGGGAACATTGTGGTCATCAATAAACATCCTCTCCACTCTATAATGGAAAAACTGTGGGTCATAGCCCTGCTCATCTGCAGGAAAAAAACAGTATGCAAATATTAAATATATAAATCCAGACAAAGTTCCATTAGGAAGATTCCAAAGCAATACTTTGTTCAAACATTTAGGACAATACTTTGTCCTAGCAATACTTTGTTCAAACATCATGTCCTGAAATGGTGCTTGGGGGCACCAATGTATCCACGGCAATTCCCCTGGGCATCCATCAGTCTCCTTGCCCTGCCTGATTTTTTACATTAAAATGCACACACACACTTTTTTAAATGGGAAGCTGCATGCCTTCAGCTTTATCTGTACTTTCATGAATACCTGGGTCCTGTAAGAAAATAAAAATGTTGAGCAGCTTTAATCAACATGCTTAGTTTTTCTGCCTAGAAAAAGGACAAAGCTAAGCCACGGAAATATAGAATATCCAGCCAAAGGAGTACTAACAGCATGACAGGTAACATTTTGGCAAATCTTTACTCTGAAATTGGTTATATCCCTGCCAGCCATTTTGAGAATAGGCAATCTTTACCAGCAGTTGTTTTGCAACAGCACCCCTTGCTCTCAAAACTTCAAATGTGCCTACTCCAAAAAGGCTGGCAACCTCTAATCTATACCAAATTTTATGTGAGTCAGAGATAAATCTGCCTCCCCTCTAGTAAGTGGATGGAAGTCCTATTTTTAACAACAGATTGGAGCAGATTTTTTTTATTTGCAACAAAAACATCTATATTGCAGTTATGTTTACAGAATCAGTTGCATCAAATTGCAGTATGTATCTTATCTCAGTATTCAAAGCCAACATTTCATGGCCATCTGAAGTGTCAATACCTATATTGTTCATTAAATACAGATATAAGGATGCATGCCATTCAATTGTCCAGAAAAAAAACAAAATTACATCCATCCCAAATTTCAGCTGGGGTTGATGGGGTAGCAAACAACAACATGCACAAACCTCCTCCCTGCCATTATACTGGATTTTGTTGCTAATAGAAACAGCTGCCAGCCAACATCTACAGTTTTTAGGCAGTTGCTGAGCTATAGGATAAGTCACTAATCTGATATCCACCCTAGAGTCTCCATGCCAGGCACCTGAATGCAGAAGCTTCCTTATTTACATTTCTACAATACTTGATCACATTAAGATAAAACTGTTGGGCACAATGAGAAAATTAAATGACATTTTCCTGACACTCCTTTAATGTTGCTGTTGTCACCGCTGCCTGGTAAGCAGAAAGCGATGGTGGTAATTGATGTAAGGCGCTTTGCCTAAAGCTCCAGAAGGTGAAAATTGGCTCTAATTGCAGAAACAGGAACTAAATAGCATTAGACTTGGTGGAAAAACAGCATTCAAGACTCTGGTATTAATGTTGTAAATCAAGTTTAACACAGAAGAGTTTGGTTCAACACGTGTCACAATGAGGTTTGACATTAAAAAGTGACCTGAACAAATTAGATTAGGAGAAGTTCATAACTGAAGCAGCTTTTTCCAACTTGTACCTTCTAGATGTTTTAACATTACAACTCAAGAATTTTCAGCCAGCAAGGTTTTGAACCCTTCATACCTGAAACCAGTAAGCTGGGGAAAAATGACTTGAGGAAGACTGTGTACCAGTCACTGTGCTGAAGAGGTTAAAAAAAAGTGGGAAGAAATATGTAGGTATCTTAAGGCTATTATCATAAACATTGAGTTCTAAAACATTCAGAACTTAACTTTAAAAGGAAGCAGATACTGTTTTAGCCTGGTGTAGTTAAGGTATTGGAAGAGTAACACCAAGGTTCATGTCCTCCATCAGCTATGGAAATTCACTGCACACCTAGAAGGCAGAGCTAAGACTAAATATGGTGCATGCCCTGCTTTGTGACTAGAAGAGATGCAGTTAATGCTTTCCTGTCTGCTCCAGTTCTGGTGACTAAGAAACAAAATAATACTTACTACAAAGATTGTAGACTTTGTAGTGGTCTTCGTGTTTTGTATCCAAGAACTTTGCAACTTCCTTATAAAAGAGAATAAGATATTGTAATTGTCAAGGAGGTGTGAATTATTGAATACTTTATTGGTGAGGCTGGTTTCAGACAGAAAGGAAGTATTTCAAGGAAGATTCAAATCTCAGACAGAGATCTCTGGTGCCAATATAGAGCTGTACAGCAATCTCCTGCAACCTGACTTCTACTCCATAATTTCCAACCAGCACACCTAAAGGGAATTACAAATATTGGCATAGCTAGATTCCATCAATAAGATAAAGCAGTACTTGGGGGAATTTGTGTTTAAATAAACATGTCAATTATTACTTCAAAAAAGAGGAAACAGGAGAGACAAACCAAAGTATATATATTGTATATGGATAAGCCCCTCCATAGGTTAGACGACTCTTGAATTTTTAATCAAAATACTGTTCCATGAAAAATGTGCCACCCATGGATAAGCCAACTCTCGAAATTTTTGTATGTTCACAATTGGCTTATCCTCAGGTGGCTCGTTTTTCATGGTATTTTGGTTAAAAATTTGAGGGTCAGCTTATCCACGAGTATATACAAGTACTTTAAAAAAAGTATTAACATATATGCTCAAGGATAAGCCCATCTGTGAATAAGCTGAACTCAATTTTGGGGGGTGTATTTTGGGACCTAAAATTCTCAGCTTATCCATGAGTATATATGGGTATGTGCTTATCATGCTATAACCCACAGTGAGGACCTACAGCAAATCTTCATTTTGCAGATCATACTGATTTTTTATTCAAATGCAGAATGCATTTTTTTTTTTGCTTTATTTGCAAACTGAAAGGAATGTACTTTTCACTGCTAAATGTGGTAATTGCTGAGGAAGCCAGATAGCCAGCATTCTGAGGCCTGTGGAAAAGAGACCTTAAAGATCAACTCACCAATTTGGAACAGGGATATAATACCCTTACTGTACAACAGTGACTCTCAATATGTGGTGCACAGACTGCTATTGGTCCACTTAGGTCCATGCAGTTTAACAGTTTCTTCATGTTCATGGGGCAGAACCTGCTCATGGCCACAACTCCACTTCCTTGCATAGATATATAGCAACAGCCCACTCACAGCACCAGCCACCACTTCCCTGCATGTGTTAGTCAGCTGCTAAGGACCTGCTCACCACATCAGACCCTCTTTGTTGCATGCATCAACAGTTAGCTGAAAACCGGTCCACTGACACATACTGTACAAGTGATAATACCAGTAGTAACGTTTTAAAAAATGGTAATAGTGAATAGGTGTCAAGTACAGTTATCTTTTCTCATTGCTTAACATTGAAAACCATTTTTTTCATATGTTAAGTAGATGTTAAATTTATATAAAGATTCATGACTAAGGCTTTGAGGTAAAAATCCTAAAGACAGACTTTTACTCTGCAATACAGCTTTAACAACCAAGATGTCTTTTCTTCTATGATTAATATGATTATCTCCTACCATCTTACTAACATTAAACATAGCCAATGATAATTATAACTGGGAGTAGGGGAGAACAAAGAGAAAGATTCACAGAATGACAGAAATTATTTCCATCATCTTTTAGACTTTAGATTACCCATATAGGATTCCTGTAGAAAGCTTGCTGCCCAGAAGATGGAAACGACATTGCTATAACACGAGCTGACAGATAAATACAAATAAGCAAAAAAGAAAAAAGGAAATGTAAGATTCACATTGTGAGACAAATGTGAGATTTTTCATAGGTTTAGCACTTCTTTGAGTACAGTCATATGAAAAAGTAAGTACACTCCATTGATTTTTTCAACATATTCCAACAATATTAATAGATAAAGGAGATAAAATATAACAAATAGCACGCACCATTTACATTTTGTAGTCCGTTGTGTAATTTAAACAAACATAAATGCAAATTTTGCATGTGGAAAAACTAAGCACCCCCCTACGTTTATCACTATCTCAAATACCTAACATTAGAGTACCAGATCAGGTCTTCTTGAACCCGTTTTATTGAAATCTCAAACATTTAGTTTGATTTGCTCTTAGTTGTTGAAGAATGTAATATTACCCTGCCTAGATCCAAAGAGCTCTCAGAGGCCTTCACAAAGGAGGTTATAGATGCCTATGAGTCTGGGAACGGATTTCAAAAAATTGCCAAACAACTGGATATCAATGATTCTACCGTCCAGAAGATCATCTACAAGTGGAGAAGGTTTCAAACAACTGCCAACTTGCCCAAGCAACTCAAGAGCAGAGCACAAGATGCTGAAAGAAGTATCTAAGAACCCCAAAATTTCATCACGGGACCTACAGGTAGCTCTTGCCACTATTAATGTCAAAGTGAGGACTCTACCAAGAGAAAGAAGCTGCACAAATTACATATACATGAAAGGTGTGCCGGGAAGAAACCTTTGCTGGCCAGAAAGAACATCAGGTCAAGACTAAAGCTTGCTCATGAACACCTAGGCAAAGACCAGGACTTCTGGAAAATGTACTCTGGGCAGACAAGGCAAAGATAGAGTTATTTGGCTACAGTACCAGAACACAAGTTTGGCAAAAACCAAAGAAAGCATTTCACCAGAACTGATACTGACTAAAAAGCATGGTGGTGGAAATGTTATGGTTTGGGGCTGCTTTGCTGCATCAGGGCCTTGGCACTTCATCATCACAGGATCCACTATGAATTCATTGTACCAGAGGGTGCTTGAGGATATGTGAGACCATCCATCAGAAGATTGAAAGTGAGCCGAAAGTGGACTTTGCAACGTGACAACGACCAATGTCATGTTAGACAATGACTAAACATTCCAGGAAATCCACCAAGGAATCCCTGAAAAAAAGAAATGGACAGTTCTAGAATGGCCAGGTTAAAGTACAGATCTAAATCCCATTGAGATGCTGTGGGGTGATTTGAAATGGGTTGTGCATGCAAGAAACCCCTCAAACATTGCACAGCTGAAAAAAATCTGCATGGAGGACTGGGGAAAAAAATCCTCCCACTTGATGTCAGAGACTGATAGACAATTATAAGAAATACCTACTGAGGTTGTTTCTGCCAAAGGGGGCAATACCAGGTATTGGATCCAAGGGCATACTTATTTTTTCCACAGAAGGAAATGGTGTATCTGTTCATTTTTTTTGTTGAATAAATGATTGCAAAGTCAATTTTTCATAGGTTTTTTCTTCAATTATATCACCTTTATATTTATATACTGTTTGAATGAAGATAAACATTGATATGCCCACATATGCTAAAAAAGAAAAAAAAAACTTTTTACATAGAGTGTACTTACTTTTTCATATGACTGTAGATTAAAAGCAACAGAAACCATTAAATAATGTTAGAGATTACAACAAGCCCCTTCCTGTCACATACACCTCTGGGGTTTGGAATTTGTACATGCTCTTAAGCACAAACGTGATGGCTTGAGAACTTGTGGCCATAGTTGCAGATATAACTCTGGTAAAACATTTTTAAAGGGAAACAACTCGATTAATTAGTGACTTAACCAGTCCAGAAGTAAAAAGATTAAAAAAAAACTGAAGCAGAACAATTTTAAGGTTAGCACCACTAAGCAAGCACTAAATTTTAGGCAGGAAACAAGTAACTGTGTGTCAATGACTTAACAAATACCCCATGGTTTAGTACGTTAATAATGCAAAACAAATGTAACAAAACATGGACTGAAGATACTGGACGACAGAGTCAGAATACTACCAGGCTGGGAAAATGTTTTTTATGCTTTGCTCCAAACAGATTGTATCAAAGTAGACTCAAACATGTTTAATTTTTTTCTAAGCTTAATATTCAATTCAGATTCTTTTCCCCAATATGTCAGACTGGCTTCTCCAATTTAAAAGGCTTTCTTCAGAATGTCAAAGCACTCCAGATATAGATACCTGATAACCTATTCTCCTCATAATGGACCGATGAAAGAATAATAATTGCAGCATTTTTTTAAATGATCAATTTTTGCAAATGTGAAGGAGTAAAATCTGGAATTATAAATTTGGTGCTTTTAATAAAGAAACAAAAAGCATGTTGTATTACAGTGATGATATAAAAGGATTCCAACAAATAAAACATTCACTACCTGACCTAGTAAAGGATCAAGCAATTTATATCAGTGTCATGCCATCAGGTCTCTTATAACACCCATATTGAAAAGGTGCTACAGCTAAGAAAATAATTCTATTTCTCTAGCAAAAATAATGTTTAATAAGAAAAAAAATACTCCCAAAGTAAAAGTATTTTATTAGAACATATCTAAATCCCTACATCAATCAGTAACTGTTCATATTATGTAGTACAAATGAATTTATTAAGGTCCATGAGAAAGTTAGTAATCTACTTTATCCAATTTTAAGTATTGCAATTTTTCACAATTTAATACCCTTCAGATACACTGAGATAACACAATCCCAGAATTGCCAGTCAACTTGCCAATGGCTAGGTTCTTTCAAGCTACAGCTGAAGGACCTGCTCAAGATCTAGTCACCTGTTGACTACTGGCAAGAGAAAATGACTCCACAGTCCATTGGCAAAAGCTGCTAATGCAATTAACATACAATGATATTTCTCCCCCATTCTTCCTCATTCCCTGGCACCAGCATTCTGCCCTTTGTGAGGAACATCACTGATTCATATCAAAATTGTATGTGTAAACGTTCTCTACTATATTAGACTTTATAGCCAAACATAATGACAGAATTAAAGATTTCCTTCTGATACAAAGAGAGGCACGACTATGTAAATACAAAAGGTATTGGCTCTTGGCCACATTAAGATTTTGTTACGTGACTCTTAGCTCTACACCTATCCTGTTATGCATGGTTAGACTTTAACTGCTAGGTATAATTGGCAAGGTCTACCTCAGCAATCACTGATTCTCAACACAAGAAGCAATAGTGAAGAGAAGCACAGGCATGACCACACTTCCCTAGTATCAGTCTCTAGAGATGGGAAATGGAACAAAGGAGAGGTTTCCTCTTGCACACATTCTTCCATTATCCTTGGATGCCTAGATTTCCATTTATGATCAATTTGTCCACTAATCAAGAAATACCAACCAGTGACGTAAGTGAGATCCAAATCAAAGCCACCTTTTGTGTAACGCCTTTTATTTTCTGAGACCTGCCAGCCAACAGAAAAAAAAATCCAATAATATTAAATGGTGATGTTAGGAAATAGACTGGTCAGTCATGAAAGCAGAAATTCCCCCATATAAAGATAAAGACACCTTCAAATCACTCAACTCCTGGTAACTACCCAACCGAATAGTGCAGAAGTGGTTTGCTCCTGAATACTTCTGGGAAATTTTCCAGTTTAGGTAAGCAGTATTAGTATTCCCTTGATGGTCTTCCACTCAATTACTACTCAGGCCTGATCCTACCTAACTTGAAGCCCTCCAGCTTCATAGTCATAACTTAGTTTAGTTCAGCGGGTGCAAAATCCTGATTTGGGAGCTTCAGCCTGACTTTAATGGGTTCTTCAGAAATTCAAGAATAAGAGCTTCAGGAGCAAAATCTGTAACCAGTGTTTAGCAGATGACCTGTTATCTGAAACTCTGAACAAAAATCTGTATATTACATGGAATCACAAGGCCTGAAAAGGTCTACATTTTTAACTTCTAACAAAAGACCTCAGTGTTTCCTGCCTGGTGTTCTCTAGATAGACTGGAAGTACAACCCTCAATTCTAAACTAACATGGCCAAAAGCTAAAAGTTCTGGGAATTGTAGCCCCAAATTACAAAACAGCTAAGGAGGTGAATACTATCATATGTGATTTGAGCCTCCCATCTTCCTGTGAAGAAGTCCCCAAATCCTTCTATCCCATCTTCCTGTACAAAGATACCACAGAATTTAAGAAAAAAAGCCAATTAAAAATTAATCATATTTATATTTATTAAAAGGAAAAACAGCCAAAGATTTCAAAATATATACACAAAAAGTATGGTTTATCTGTTTACAGGAAGACAAGCATGTAAACAACTATATCAGCCTTCTTAGGAAGTGAATTCAGCAAATCTAGGCACCAGAGCTGACAAAATTCAATTTCACTTACCATCCTTCGGGCAACTTTTTCAAGTCGTTCTGTCTCAGAAGCCAATCGAAAAATTCTTATCAGAATTATAACCCTCAACATTCGAAAAATGATAACTGTCCTGGGAAATAGAAAGATTGGGATTATATCAAGTGTTAGTGCAAAATATAAACTTGGCAATACCTAGATCATGGTTTAGCTCCAACTCCAATGGTATTTCAAGTTTAGGAGTCTGTAAGTTTCAATCATGCCAAATTATTACACAACCTGATTTCCACAGATAAGGACAATGTCAGTATCTACAGATATCAGAGTTGTAGTAGTAGTAGAAGAGGAGGTAAGAATGCCATATGATATCTACTTTGTTTGAGGGGCAAATGAAAAAAGAACCACTATTGTTAAGACAGACGTGATATATCAAAAAGATATCACTCACTCTTCAACCAAAAAATCCTCCCATGGTAAGCTAGATAAAATCAATGCATGCAAGACCTGATAGCTTACAATCTGCCCACCTCTCCCTTTTAAAGAATAAAAATTGAGATCTTTAACAAATAGGAAGGAACAAAAACATTGCATTTCTTTACTTTGGAGTTAGGTTGATCAGGTGCATATTTCTTACCTTGGAATTAGGGTTATTCCACCTAAGTCAGAGGAAATATATACAATATCGACCAACAATGTACCCACAACAATGATGCTATCTAGAATGTTTAATTTGGAGTGGAAGTACTTTTTGAAGCTGAAATGCAAAACAGATAAGGATATTCAAACACTAAAAAAATAACAATAGTTTAATAGTTGCCCTCTCCCAGCATCAGAATGACACAGCTGCCAGTAAAACAGCTGCTGCCAATAAAGCTGCAGCACTGAGCAAGCAGGGGAGGAAGGAAGACAAGATGTCTACCTGGGCCTTTATTTTTCTTCCCTCAGACTGAACTCTGTAGAAAAGAGTATAGTTCTAAAGAGAGTAACAGTAGGGTCCATATAGGGTTTAAGACAAAAGAAATATAGGGGTCAGCAATAAATATATTAGAAATATAGAATAGAAAGATATAAAGATACAGAATATAATGTGGATAAAGATCCTATGGAAAATAGATAGTTAAAACAAAATATAGTTTTAGTGGTATGATACTAATTTCTGAAATAGTTGAAGGCATTTATAATTTACCATTCCTTTTCTGGTGGTGGTAGGGGTAAGCTTTCCTGGTTTTGTAAAATAAAAGTCTCCCCCAGCCACTGAAGGGAGATTCAAAAACCAAAACCAACTGTCCAGGTTTCTAATACTTTGAGTCTTTATTGAGCATGGGTCAATCTGATTATTTAAATATCCTGCCACAGCACTCCATATTGCAACTATCTACTGCAAGACCCACGCTGTATACATTATCCTCTCAGAATCCATACTTAACCAAAACAGAGCTGCTGAATTGTAAGAAGTCAGCATCAGCATCTTTGGGGGAAGCACAATGTTTTTAAAAGTACAAAAAAAGTGATTTTAAAAAGTTAGATATGCAATCCCTTTACAAGAAACAGCTCAGCACTGATCATGTTCAGTGACCATAAAATACAGACTGTTGAGGGAAAAACTGGAAGGAGACATGGAACCGAGGTTGCTTCTAGATTATGCCTCTGGTGTGCAACTGCCCTGCCTCATTCATGAGATTTTACAGAAAGTCAAGATGATATAAAATTCCACTTAGAAGCCTCTGTGTTTTCCTCATCAATTCTTCCATCTTTTCTTTCTACTAGAAGAATATAAATTTAAAAAAGAAAAACAATTACATGTTTTTGTTTGGTTATGATCTATCTGAAAGCGTTTCAGTATCTTGAAAAATTAATATGGTTGCTGGAAATATGAACAGGAGCATTCCAAATTATATTTTTTTTGGCAGATCCCCAAAAACTTTAAACCTTTAAAAAGAAAACCTTTAAAAAATGTTATTCCCAATCCAGTTCTACTATAAGAATATGTAGATCTCCCTTCAACCCTTAGGGTGAGTTCTAAATTCCCATATTTCATTCCATCAAGACTTCTGTAAAATCAGCAGGTTTCTATATGCACATATGCTCTTACCCTTCAATAAACACTTGCAGGATTACATCTATGAAGAAAAATAGCGCTATACTCAAAGAGATGTTTCCAATCGTGTATTCAACAGACTCATATGTGTCACCAATCAATAGAGAAAGAATCACAAGTGTAATGTCCACAAAAATAAGCACTAAACCAAAAAATCTGCAAATGCAAGGGAGATGAGAAACATAGGCATATTTCAAAACAAAAAGAATGCAAATCATAACTCTAAACGTTTTGTTTTCCTTTTATATAAGATGTTAAACTCCAATTGTTTTTGGACTACATCTTTTGTTATCTCCAGCTACCATTAACTACAGTTTTTTATAATAAAGACTGTAGTGAAATAAATTCTGGGGACCCTTATTTTGGAAATAAAATGTCCTATTAAATCCTACCAATTCAGTAGTGTAATAAAAAGGTGCTGGGGAGCCACAAGTATGGTCTACAACCTGCTCACCTGTATACTAAAACAGTTGAAAGGACACGGGAAAACTGCCAATTACATGTATTAATGTAAATATTTTAGCGAACTCAGATAGTGGTCCAAGATTTATCTAGAGAATATTTGATCAAGAAGCACATAGCACAATCATATGCTGGAGGCATGTGCATTACAGACTGGATTCATACATTGTGCTAGACCATTACATGGTTGGTTTGGTATCATGTGAAGTGAGACTCTATGGATTGCAAATTATAATTTATGGCTTAATAGTTGAATGAATCCAGCAAACTGATTTATTGAAGAAACCATGGTTTATAAAAATGTTTAAACTGAGCAATACATTCTGATACAGTAAATTTGTAGTATATGCTTAATGTGCACAAACTGTACTTAGATAGATGTATAGGAGAATTAATATAATTTGCTTTTATTCAATGGAAGCAATTCTGACTTTCTCAATTCTGAAAGAAGAAAATTGAAAGGGAAAAATTCACTGTACAATTCCTTCCCTGTACTTTATTAAGTTCATGTAAACATAATACTTACCTGAATCCAAAAGACATCACACATGGCGATACCGTTTTTTTAATCTTGCTGGATAGTCAGGGGAGAAAGGGAGTGAAAGAAAATTATTAAGGATTTTGACTAAGATTTCAAAGACCAAGTCAAGCCTATCAAACCAAAATTATGTTTGATCTTGCTGATCAAGTTTAAGTAGTGATATCAATTCCAGAGTTTACCAGTTATTAGCAAACTACAGGTAGTCCCCAGTTTAAGAATGAGTTCCATTCCCAAGATCTGTCCTTAAGTCAGATTTGTATGTAAGCCAGAACAGTATTATTGTATAATACTGTATAA